AAAACTGCAAAAATTCATGGGGGGGGGGGGCAAGGAGTTTTAATTCTGTACACGAGTGCTTGTGTGGGTAGGGCTTACAAGACACAGGAGCGATGCCACTGAGGGAAGCCTAATACTGCCTTGACTTTACACAAGGCAGTGAAATAACCACATGCCACTTGGGGAAATAAATAAAATATGGGGAAAATGCGGTGCTCATTTTTTATATTTTTGTGAAATGTGTGTGCACATACTTGGATCTGCTAGTGCTTAGCCACAAGGAAGTCAATGAATAGCGATGGTGTTATTTTCATGATAAACATTTTAATTATTATGATATAAACATTAGTAACAGCAAAATAAGATAATGTGCTCATAACTGGCTCTCTGGTGACTTAGTACAAGTATAGCTATCTATGTGTAAAAACAATTGATAAAGGAAATTCACATTGGGCATGGCATGTATGTACATGCCATGCCCGTCGGCATTGGGTTAATAAAGTATAGCTATCACCCTGGGAGGGACATGGCCATATTTTGTTTGTGGTTATTATGGGATGATTGATGATGAGTAGCTTTTCAACACCAGCCCTTGATTTTTTAATGCCAGGAGGAAATTATCAGAGGAGTCTTTGATATATTTCATATAATTTTAACGGGCCTTTTTATGAAGAATTTTAGGAAGAATAAAATTTTCTGTTGATCATATTCTGATTTTTAAGGTTATTTGCGATTTAATTTATACTTTTTGTTTATTTCACTGAGGAGTAAATCCTAAAGTTCCACTCATATTTTTTCAGCATCTCGCCAAAGTAGCCGGCTGCTTTCAACAACAAGAGCTGCCATGGGTGTCCATGCTAACCTCAAGGTAAACGATGGGGTTGGCGTTGTCACCTTCGATTCCCCTGGAAAGGTGAACGTGCTGAACCAGCCAGTCATGGAGGAAATTGTGAAGATCATTGATGAAATTGAGGCTAACAGTGATATCCAGGCTGCTGTACTAATATCTGGTAAACCAGGATGTTTTATTGCCGGTGCTGATATTACCATGATTGAAAGCTGCAAGACAGCTGAGGAAGCCCAGGCTCTCTCAAAGTCCTGCCAGGATATCCTCTTCCGCATTGAAAAGAGCAAGAAGCCAGTTGTTGCAGCAATCATGGGTTCCTGCCTTGGCGGTGGTCTGGAGGTTGCTCTGTCTTGCCACTACCGGCTGGCTGTGAAGGACAAGGCCGGACTTGGACTCCCTGAAGTTATGTTGGGAGTACTCCCAGGTGGAGGAGGAACCCAGCGCCTTCACAAGCTGGTTGGTGTTCCTGGGGCTCTGGATATGAGCTTGACTGGAAAGACTGTAAAGGCTGACAAGGCCAAGAAGATGGGTCTGGTTGATGGGCTTGTAAACCCTCTTGGGCCGGGCCTTCAGCAGCCTGATTTGCGAACCCTTGCTTACCTTGAGGAAGTAGCCATAAAGACTGCCAAGGATCTTGCAAGTGGTGATCTGAAGGCAAAGCGTGGTCCCAAGAACTTCATGGAAAAGGCAATGGGTACAGCTCTCCAGTATGACTTCATCAAGGACCAGGTGTTCAAGAAGGCTCGTGGCCAGGTCATGAAGCAGACCAGTGGACTCTACCCCTCACCCCTGAGAATCCTTGATGTTATCCGCACTGGACTGGACAAGGGTAGCAAGGCTGGCTATGAAGCCGAATGCAAAGGTTTTGGAGAGTTGGCCATGACCAGTGAATCAAAGGGCCTTGTTGGACTTTTCCATGGTCAGACCGAGTGCAAGAAGAACCGGTTTGGCAAGCCAGAGAAACCAGCAAAGACACTGGCCATCCTTGGTGCTGGACTCATGGGTGCTGGTATTGCTCAAGTGTCTATCGACAAGGGTTACCGCACAATCTTGAAGGACATGAGTCATGCTGGTCTTGCAAGAGGCGTTAACCAGATACAAGGAGGGCTAGACAAGGCTGCAAAGCGCAAGAAGATCACTACCTTTGTTGCAGACCAGTACATGTCCAACCTCGAACCAACCATCGATTACAGCAGCTTCAAGAGCTGTGACATGGTGATTGAGGCTGTGTTTGAAGACTTGGCTTTGAAACATCGGGTCATAAAAGAAGTTGAGCCACATCTTCCCGAGCATTGCATCTTTGCTTCAAACACATCTGCTTTGCCAATTGCTCAAATTGCCAAAGCAAGTGCAAGGCCAGAGAAGGTATGTTTATAAAATAGTTTTATAATGTTGTTATCAAATGTCAGCAGATACTAGAATGTTTAAAGTGATTTTGTAAGTCTTTTTCATAGTAAGAAATGTTTTCTTCAAAATCCAGTACAAGAATGCAGTCAAACCATGATAATCCATACAGCACTAATGCATCATGTTATTTCTTTCTGGACAGGTGGTTGGAATGCATTACTTCTCCCCAGTGGACAAGATGCAGCTGCTGGAAATCATCACAACTGACCAGACCTCAAAGGACACTGCTGCCTCAGCTGTGGATGTTGGTCTGAAGCAGGGAAAGGTAGATCTCACTTTAATTCCTTTTTTTTTTCTCCCTTTCTTTCATCCTCATTTTGGTGTTAAAAAAGAAAAACACAAAAGAATCAGGAAAGTCATTTGATTTTTCTTTTGTAGGTTGTGATTGTGGTTAAGGATGGGCCAGGATTTTACACAACTAGGATCTTGGGTCCCATGCTGGGAGAAAGTGTGAGGCTGTTCCAGGAAGGTGTTGACCCCAAGAGGATGGATAAACTCTCAAAATCCTTTGGTTGGCCTGTAGGAGCTGCGACTCTGGCAGATGAAGTTGGTAAGGTCCTTTTATTTGCCATGAAATTTTTTCTTTAATAGAAAATTCTTGACCCAGTGGTCAGTACTTCATAATAAGCAGGAACAAGTTTATATTATATAATGTTGGGTTTGCACTAATGATTGAAGGAAAAGTAGAATATTTATAAATATGAACTACAGTTAAAGGAGATTTTTGTTACAGGTATCGATGTGGCTATGCATGTTGGAGAAGATCTCAGCAAGGCCCTCGGATCCCGCATTGGTGGTGGCGACGTAAATGTCCTGAAGGATCTTGTTGCTGCTGGCTTCCTAGGTCAGTTACCCAATTTATTTTCATGTAGTTTAAAACCAAGGCTGGTTTTGATGTATCAGTACCTTGTCTCTAAAAGTATGTAAATATTATGCTTACTAGAAACTGTGGTAATTTCATGCCCTGTACTTAATACTTTCCCTTCCAATACAGGTCGCAAATCTGGCAAGGGTATTTACGTGTACGAAGCAGGTGTGAAGGAGCGAAACGTTAACGAGGGCGCTCTGGAAATTCTGAAGAAGTATTCTGTTACTCCTAAGGTAAAGCTGTCTCTTCTTTTTTTCCTATATTTTGCTTTGTTACTCATGTGTTATACTTGATACATAATGGTGAAAAGACTGATGTGTTAATGACAAATTTTACTAGATTTTAGACCTTTAAAGAAATAATTGAAGATATTACAAAGTAAATTATAATGTCACATTTCATAACTCTTCCATTATTGACTTGCAGGGCCCTCTGACTGATGCTGACATCCAGCTGCGTATTGCTAGCAGATTTGTCAACGAAGCTTTGTTGTGCTTGCAAGAAGGCATTCTAAATAGTCCTGTAAGAATTAATTAAAATGTAACATTGTGTATATTTAGAGTAGCAAAGAAATCTTTAAAAGATGATGGTTATCATATAAATGCCTCAGCTGTCATTGTACTGAAATATGTATATTTTTTTTTCTAGCTTGAAGGAGATATTGGTGCTGTGTTTGGCCTGGGCTTCCCTCCATTTACTGGTGGACCTTTCCGATTTGTGGACAACTATGGAGCAGACAAGTTGGTGGCCAAGATGCAAGAATATGCAGCTGCCTACGGCGAGAACTTCCAGCCCTGCCAGTTGTTGCTTGATCATGCTGCTGATTCGTCCAAGAAATTTTACAAGTAATATCTTGTCTTCAAAATTTGTATACCAATGATACCTATTTGAAGATTTAGAGTATGCCATTATTATTATTGCCAGCTTCATCCTTCAAGTGTCTTATCTATGTCATAGTAAGAATGGTCATAATGATCAATTTTGAACAGGTGTGTTCATATTTAAGACGTTTTTCCAACACTATTTCCAAAGTCCTTTTTCTTACCAGCATCAAAAATCTTAGTCAGATTTTGCCATGCTTGGTGGTTAAAGCACCAGCTTGAAACCGGTGACAGTTGGGTTTATCATGAAACAGAATCAGAGAACACAAGTTTTGGAGATACGAACTAAGTATAAAGACATGCTATTGCTTAAACCACTCCTCATGTAGCCTGGTTACCAAACTCACCAGAGAACAATGAATATTTATATGTAATAAAGGTTCACCCAACTCAAAAACAGTGTAGTGTGCTGTTTTTTTTCTGTGCCTTGCATGAGACTTTGAAACAATGTATAGTACTGTAAATATGGCAGAAAGATCCCTATCTTTTTACTTGTTTGAAGTAATTCATGCATAGACACAGAGTTTATCAATGCAATTTTCATAGGTTAGCATTTTATAAAGATAGATAATTTATATTCTTTAACAAAATGGGAACAAAATGATCCATTAGTTTTGAAACCATGATATATATGGATTTGTTAAGTAATTGTGGATAAATAAAAGATTTTTCCAAGCTGTGTGTGGATGTGTACCCTTTGCTTAACCTGTTACTGCTGGGTCACATGTATAGCCATCATAACAAACTGCTTGATCTGCTGGGCACAGCTATACATGTGGCGACACACTAGAGTGCATGGAGCAGGAAGATCTACTATATGTAGCAGGCTCCCACTCCCAGCAGCAGGATAGTTACCAGAAATCGCCAGTCTATGATGCCAAGAGATTTCTAATGCCATCAAAAATGGATTAAATATTGGATATGTAGGTGTGACACAGCATTTATCATGCCAAAGCACATTTCAGGATCTGGCAGTGTTTTAATCCAAATGGATAAAGTGTTAGGATTGAAAAAGAAATGAACTTCCACTTTATTTGTTCTAATAAATATACAATTTGTGATAAATGATGAATATTTGTAATTTGTTTAAGAAAAAACTCTAAAGAAAAGCAAGGTATGGAAATTAACTACTGGCTGTATAATACAATCCTCAATTCAAATAACGGCTTCTCTTTAGTACCCCTCAATCCCTTGCTCATTGTCGTGGCACGGCTTAGGAGACAGACTAAGGCCTAATGTAGGGCATCACCCATACTTTGGGTCCTTAACCCTTGCCTCTCCTAATTTTGCAAGGTTTTTTTCACTGCCTCCTCCATAAACATTGCATTACTCAGTAAGGCAATGTTTATGGATTTCCAGAATGGTCAGTAATCAAAAATGTACCAGGCATCAAAGGTTACACAGCATTATGATGAACTATTCAGGCAAAAAAAGACTAAAAATGGCTTAACAATTTCGATAAGTGGACACAAGAAGAGAATGAAAGGGAAAGGGGAAGAAAAGACCCTGCAAAATTAGTGCAGGTGAGGGCTGTGGTCCAAGGCAGGGTGATCCCTACACTGGATCACCCCACAACGAGCAAGGGACTTGCAGGAAGGGGGTGGGGGGGTCTTCTGTCCATTTATCCTAGTTGTTACCAAATTTTTAACCTTTTTGCCACAATACTTTATCATAATGCTATATGACTCTCGATGTCTGGCGCATTATTTGTTTTGACCATCAACCATTCTGGAAATTCACAAATATTGCTTTATTGAACCTGGGGGCTTCACCCCAAACCCCACCTTGTTGCTTTATTTGAATAAGTTGCTAATGACCGTAGATGTTGATGCAGCAGAACATTTTCAGTAATAAAAATTCTCCTTAGTAAAATGCATAAAAAGCACTCATTGTAATTAAGACTGCATACTCAACAAATATAACCAGTAAGCTTCAGATGTTAATTTCTGTTGCAACTTCCTCTGCCTCTTTTGTAACTATTTATTGTAATTGTCATTTAAATATAATTTCTATAAAACAAGTATCAAGTAAACAAACTAAAAGAAACTGAGAAAATTATACCACATAGTCAAGATATGAAACAAGATTAAAAAGATCGTTGTCAGTGTGGCTTCCAAGAGATGTTGGCCAATCCTTGGAATGACTTCTGGAGTTGCCGATTGTCTGCCCAGGGAGAATTGAGGTACGAGTCGTCATCCTCCTGGTCCAATTTCTGTCAAGAGAGAACGGTTTAATTATTTGGTGCAAATCACAAAGAAGACTAGATAGCAAATGTGTATAACATGATTTTGTTTTTACATTTGTTAATAGTCAAATCAGACTTTATAACTGTGTGTCCTAATACCACTGACCACTGTCTGGTACTTTCTCAACTAAAGTTTGAAAAGCAAACCAGATTGCAATTTATTTATTTATTTATTTTTACTGAACATGCCAGTATTGTTAATACTTTTATTGCAATATACTGACTCGATCTCTTGGCTTATAAGCATAATCAGTACAGAAGCATATATTTTTCTATATCCTAAAGTATTTAAATTAACCTGCAACGGAATAACATTAAATTCCAAAGACTTCAAATAGAATCAGAAACCCGAAGAAGACAGAAAAACAAATTTCTACACACACCTTTAATTCTTCTCGCCTGTGGAATTCAGCCATCATGAGTTTTTTGCGCTCTTCCTCCGACAGAAGGGGCTCTCTGCTCGGTGCCCCTTGGCCTCGGCGCTGAATCTTCACAATCACCTGGAATGTTTTCAGGGACTACATTTTTTTTTGCATTTGTTTTAGGTCACACTATGAAATTACTTTTCACAGTTTTAGAGGGAAAACAGATAAATTGAAGAAATTACATGCATCTAACTTGTATATCTGTTGTAAAATCTGCAATACATTTTTCCATTTTAATTGTAAGGATTTTAATACATTCCAATATACTTTTTAAAGATTTCTATAAATTTCAAAGACTACTACCAAGTATTTAATTTTACAAGTGGATTTTATTGTTCTTGTATTCTGAAAAATAATAAACTAAAGCATTAAAAAAGTATTAATAAATATACATTTGTTTACTTAAATTAAGAAACCAGAAAAAGAAAGATTAACATGAACTAATATAACATATAATATAGAAAACTAAGTAATTCTAAAGCCAGTTTCTTTAAAATAAGACTAAATTTTCTGGACTGTGGAGGACAGACAGTGAAGCACAATACAAGTTCATATCAGGATTTAGTAAATAAGTGTAGTTACAAAATGATATGCTAGAATATTTGTTTATTACTGAGAGGGAGAAAAAAACAAAAAACATTAATATGTTTAAAAGAGCCATTTCCCTGTTGGCAACTCCACGTGTAAAACTCGTACAAATACCAGAGTTACTTTGTACTGGAGTTCAGAACACTAAAAATACGTTCAAAACATGGCCACTACCAGGAAAAGATAATAACAGAATGCAAGATACGTAATCAGTATTTCAATATCCTATTTTTAAAATGACACAAGCAGAAAAGATTTATCACAGCACTAATAACACATCTTGCACTGCAAAATTTAACATTCTTGCCCACTCTTCAACATCTGTCAGAACAAAGGGAATTTCTCCTACCTTTGATTTTTCATTTTTGCCAACGTAGTCTAGTAGTTTCTTCCCGCACAGCATTTCCTTCCCAGCAAACCAAAGCTGTGTTACTGATGGATCGAGAACCTTAAAAAGTAAAGGAAAATTTATATTGATAAAAATTATTTCAATAGTATAGACTAAAGAAAGAATTGCATATCTACAGGAAGTAATGCAGACAACATTGAGTAGAAAACTAAGTCAAAAGTGATATTCTGAAGTGTCCAGAGCCTAAATAATCATCATTATGAATAACCTGCAGTAGAAATATACATAGGAATACTTTAAATGTAAATATCTACTTTCACTACTTGATCACTTTTGTAAAACCTAAGTAAATAATAAATGATAAATAAATATATGATATGTATATATATAATATATATATAATATATATAATATATATATATATATATATATATATATATATATATATATATATATATATATATATATATATATATATATATATATATATATATATATGATATATATATATATACATATATACATATATATGTATATTCATATATATATATTATATGTATATATAACCTATATATATATATATCTATATATATATATATCTATATATATATATATCTATATATATATATATCTATATATATATATATCTATATATATATATATCTATATATATATATATCTATATATATATATATCTATATATATATATATCTATATATATATATATCTATATATATATATATATCTATATATATATATATCTATATATATATATATCTATATATATATATATCTATATATATATATATCTATATATATATATATCTATATATATATATATCTATATATATATATATCTATATATATATATATCTATATATATATATATATCTATATATATATATATCTATATATATATATATCTATATATATATATATATCTATATATATATATATCTATATATATATATATAGATATATATATATATAATATATATATATATATATAAAATATATATATAAATATGCAAATATGTATAAGTATACATACAAATATATATAAACATGTATAAACAAGTACATAAGGATATATATAAGCATATATATAAATATGTACCTCTTCTGCCCTCTCTACCTTTCCTCCTCTCTCTCCCTCCCCTTCTCTCTCTCTCCCTCTCCATCACTCCCTCTCCTCTCTCCCACTCTCCTTCTCTCTTTCCTTCTTCTCTCATTTTGTCCTCTTCTCTCTCTCCTTCTCTCATTCCCTCTCCTTCTCTCTCTCCCTCTTGTTGTCTCTATCCCTCTCATTTTCACAAGATCAATGACCAAATCCATTTATCTGCTTTTTCCAAAAATTAAAAGGAACTCAAATGTGCTTAACACAGTGCCTAAATGGGGGTAATGCTCAGTCTTCTTACCATGTAAATTTCAAGAGAGCATTCAACAGAGCCTTTCCAACTACAATCCTCCATGAATCAATTCTTTCGTTCTGATATGGAAAAAGGATTATCTGTCTTTAAGGAGAGTAAAAATATAATCTCAAGGCAATTATAGTGCTTATGCCGAGTTGGAGTTAGGCACTCTGCAAGGGGGGAGTATTGTTCCTGACACTATGTACTTGCATTCTCTTTGGCTTAGTGAGTTAGGAGATCTATGTTCTATCATATAATGTTGATGATATTCTCACTCAAGGTCTCTGCTTGGGGGAATATATTGAAAGAATCAGCAACGTGTGCTTCCTTTAGCCTCATAATCAACCTCATCAATACAAAGCATATTTCCAGACCTCATAAACTGCTGTTAAATTCCAATATTAGGTGGATAAGTTATTGCAAGGACTGACACCAATAAGTATCTTGGTATTAATGTGATTTCTCCCCACCTAATGTAACACAATATTCACAAACTATTAAACCATCAAAAGATGTTGCTCTGAGCATTTAAGACCGTTAAAGTGCATCAGTAATAGATATGTAGTACCTCCTTCAAGAACCTTAAAGTTCATATATATTCCTCTTGTTAGGTCCATGACTGACTATGTGAACCCAATTTTTACAATACTGCCATCAAATGCTCTCTGACGACTTGAACTCTTACAAAACAACACCATGAGGATCATACTCAGCTGCCCAATGACTGCCAAAGTTGTTAACAGCATACTTGGCCTCAGACTCTAGCAGATTCTATCCAGACCATAAATTTCCCTTGTGTGGAATGTTGATACTATATACATCCAATTAACAACACATACAGATGATACAGATATTCATATTGACAAATTAACAGTCCCAAAATCCATAACCTCAATAATAGAACTAAAAGTTCTAACTTGAAAAAAATCTATGAAATTCTCCATCCTTCTCACATGAAACTTACTGTGACACCTCTACTGATTCTCATGGAGCAGCAGG